TAAAATCCTAGAAGAAATAAATTTACTAGATATTTTAGTTGATATTACAAATTTAATTGTAATAATTAAGAAAGTTGATATAATTTTTAAAGAAAGAAAATTTAGATTATTACAAGTTACTTAATAAATTCAACTATTTCTACGACAATTACAATCGAAAATTCTAATTTTTGGATTATCATAAAAATTTAGTTTTCTCCTTGTAGATACTATGCTTATATGGTATAATCTATCTATAATAGAATTGTATTGTTGCTACTTCTATTCTGTATTTCCTTCACCTTCCGGGTTTAAAAAAAACCTCGGAGTTTTTGTCCCATAAAAAAAGAGTTTTGCAGATGTTTTTTCCCGTAGTTTCTATTAGGCCTTTATTAGTAGACCGTTCTTTAAGTAAGTGTTCATTTACGTGCGATCGAACTTAATTCTTCGTTCTTTCTTTCCCTTTTCCCCAGGGCGTTCAATATTTCATTTTAAACAGCCCTTTCGTACACACCGTCACCCTTAGCGTCGCAACTTAACTGTCCGCTTGTGAATCGGGGTCAAACGCGTCCAATATTCCTACACCTGTGGACGACCGCGTCCAATGCGATAGCGTGTAAAATGACCGGATGTGGTCGACCAGACGAGTTGTAAAGAATGGGAAATTTTCGCGCGACTCGCTGCGATAATAAGGGGAAAAATCGCATTAAGGACGACTCCGCAAGTGGAATTTCGAGTAGCAAGTCGAAATTTACAGTTACTAGAACAAATTTCGAGTTGCAAGATGAAATTTACTAGTAGCAAGTCGACATTTAGAGTTAAAAGCCGATATTTCGAGTTGCAAGTCGAAATTTTGAGGTTCAAGTTGGAATTTCGAGTAGCAAGTCGAAATTTACAGTTACTAGTAGAAATTTCGAGTTGCAAGATGAAATTTACTAGTAGCAAGTCGACATTTAGAGTTAAAAGCCGAAATTTCGGGTAGCAAGTCGAAATTTTGTGTAGCAATTCGACATTTAGAATTATAAGTCGAATTTTAGAGTTACAAATTGGAATTTCAAAAAAAACATTATGTTTAATCCTTCTATAGGCTTCGTACGTTAGTAAATATTACTCAAACTACATATATGTATGTATGTATGTGTGTACATGTATTATAAGCGCAATAATATAAACAATAATTCGATAAAAAACTTGTATTGTGTACATGGACCAGGTGGCTGTTACACGTAACAATAATATTCCATGCTTGTACACAATGGGTTTAATGATAATGGTAGAGAGAGAGACATTCTTTTGGATGGTTTGATAGTGTGAATATTGAATAATTAAACAATTGAGGGTCATTATCAAAACAGTGCACAAGAAACAAGCGATTCGATTGTTAAAGAGACCGGAATGAACCAATGGCTANTTAAGAACCTACCTGCTGCAATACAACAAAGTTGCAATAATGTGTTTGCAACGTTCTCTTAAATCGGCTTTGCACGTGCAAGTCATTGATATGATATTGCTTAAATCACCCAGAATCGACTCACCAATTATATAACGTGAATCACTTTTTAAATCCGAAGTTTGTAAAAAGTAGGCAGTTAAGTTGACGGAATTTGAAGGTTAGGTTCCGGATTTGTTATTTCCGAATTTTATAATGTGATTGGCATTAAAAGCACGCTCACCTTCAACGAAATTTCCTTTCCGAGGCTTTGTGTCAGCCCAATCACATATTGTGTCAATACTTATCATTTTATCGTAACTTAAAAACTTGGAAATTGCACGGTACACTATAGGAACTACGATAAATCTTCCCTAATCGGCGCCATGTTTTTAGGCTCCTCCCATTTGACGGATCCCAAATACTAGAACTTGTATAACCATTAAAAAATATACTTTAAAGATAATAATTCATCAATCTATTGCAATTATAGATCATTGTCAATTACAGTATTTAATTTAAAATTTCCTGGCGCCTCCACCAAAATCTTCAATATTTCTTACTATATAAACGGGAACATTTTAGGAAAAATCGTGTTCAAGGTGACGAATTATTTTTCCACAAAAGTTTATAGGAACTTTTCTTCATAAAATACCTCAAAAACCACCCTTAACACCCTCTCTTGTCTGTCTTATCGTTAATAATAATAAGTCCCTTTGAATTCTTCCAAACAAATTTATTGCTCCTAGTGAAACCGTAAAATCCGTGATACCAGCGTTAGGTACATACATCCCTCAGAAAATTAATCGCTACGGTGGGTGTCTAGATCGCGCAAAGGATACGCAAGAAAAAATAACTGCTTGAAATTCAACCTTGTGAAATAGTATTAGTAGCAGTAGGTAGCCAAATATGGCCTCCAACAATTCACGAAGCACGCAATACACCCCTACACCTTCCAAATAGTGAGTCACACGATTCTTGCTACTTACACATACACATAATCGGTTTAAAATTTCGCCCAGATCGATTTTATCATTCTTTATATATGTGTTTGCAATTCTAGCACCAACTTGCAAGTAATTCTAGATATAACAAAGACAAATTGATTTTGATTGTTAACGTTCAAGTGACGTTTATAGTCCTTAGCACACGTTGTTCCCGTAATAGAAGGGAAATTAACAATGGAAAATCCTTGACAGGAAAACTAGCTATATTACTTATGTATGTCATAGTCACTATAAATAAGTGGTGCTAAATTGTTACGTATTGCAATTGACAAAAGGATGAAATACATAATTACGGACTAAAAAGGATAATGTTTAACCATTAATTTTTAATTTCGTACTTGTTTTTTTTTTCGTGTAAATATAAATTTTGAAATTTTCGACTTTCAGTTTGGGTATTTTTGAAAAGGACAAATGAATTTGAATAAATAAATAGTTAACGTCTGGTTCATTGACATTTTTTATATGTATATTTATAAATCGAGTCAGTTATTGCATTAGTACCTACCTACCCGCGATCAACATTGATTGATATTATCTTTGCGTGACTGTCCGATTGAACGTTTACGTAAGGTCTATGGGGAACAAACAATATAATGATTAAATTTTTGTTTTGTGATAATGTACATACAGATACTCCAAACGAAATAGTTTGAAACATCATCTAGATAAATAAGGTTCCATAAAATCCAAGGAAAATGACAATATAAAACCACCAAAAGTATGTAACTCAAAACGCATACTGGGTTTTACTAGCGGCTTCGCTACTAATTTTTTTTGTATCCCTCGGGAACATATTTTTTTTCTGGATAAAAAGTACTCTTCGCGAATAGTTAAGGATGTGGGCTGTTCTAGTTTTAGGGAAATGCGAAGTTTAGCTCAGGATAGGAAAGAGTGGAGGTACGTGTCCAACCAGTCTTAGGACTGATGACCTTATGATGATGAAAAAGTACCACCCTATGTCCTTTTTTGTACCCCTGACAGTGTCTGTACAAAATCTCATAATGGGCATAACCCCCCTCAGATTTATTCGCGTCGATGTCCTGAAGCACGTGTCAAAAAGGATGTATTACAGAGACTTATCGTCTATATGTACACATAGGGTGTTTCGATAGTCCTCAAGGACTTTTACTTTCCTGCTGTAGCCTGACCCATAAAAATTAAATTAATACAAAGGTGAAAGAAAAAATTTATTTCATCATAAAGCAGTCTTCTCCATCAAACAAAAAGCAATTATTTTCATATACTGTTCATAAAAAAACGTTTATCCTTTTGTTGTTTAAATGTATTACGTTGATGAAGTGTTAATTATTGATGACTCCATCACGCAAGTTAGCAATAAAATGAAACAGCACGCAAAGATAGTTGCGATGATAAAAAAAAGTAAAATACTTTAGTAATATATCTATCTAATTGTAAGTAATACTACAGGTACATGAAGCTTCCGAAATTATATTCTTTTAAAACACAACACGCCGTGTTAAGAAATTGTTCATTTCAGCTTCATGGTTTTCAAAATTGTTCGTTTAATTGTAAGATTATTTCATATAATAATCACAAGACAGGTATGTTAATGACAATTTACTTTAACTCTCGATTTCCAAAGCTTGAGGCTTGAGAACTATTATAGAGATATCATAAATATAACGGTAAGGGGAGAATTTGTTGAAATGTTTTTAAAAACAAATTCAGTAAAGTTAGGATAATACATAATTTTCAAAAAAAAAATTGATTAGACCTCCATCGTAATGTGTAATTGTTTTTTGACACAATCCAAATCGAACACCCTCGTGTTGATCTTTCTCCCCCAGCACAAAAAGTGATTTATATATTCACGTTATGCGATATTTTCTCTGTAATATATCACCTTTTGAGTCACTGTCGTAAGTACAACCCTACATGGAGGACAAGAAAGGGTTATTAAGTACGTTCAAAGAAACTTCGTATTTTCGTGGACTCAGAAACAGTAATTTAAGACCTTTAGAACTACCGCCTTTGTGTACATGATAGACACTTAACAAACATAATGGAAAATTAGACCCTCTAATAATAAAACTTCCCTTATCTTAAGCGGTGTTGATATTTAAGTAAAAAAGCTCCCCCGTTGTTTACTTTATAAGCTCTTTGATAATAAAATACGTATTTTTTCGAAAATTGAATATCAATTGTTAAGTCATTGACAGGGCCGTGTTACAGTTAATACCAAAATAAAACCAATTTTAATTCGCAAACAAAAGAAATGCAGCGGTCATCAACCAAACAATGGACAGGATAAAAAAGAACAATTTGATATAGGAAATGACCGGAAGCGTTGTAGTCATTCGTTACCATGAAAGCATTCGCAAAACCAGATGTCATTATTGAAGTCCGGTACAACTAAATTAATTAAAACGGTAACGTACTAAACAATATTATTCGCAATGTCATGTTACGTATGTAATAGAAGTATTTGCATAATAAAATTGTTTGTTCTCGTACACTTAATCGTAGTATTCTCGTCGTTTGTCCCATGTAATGTTCAAGTAAGTTAATCAATTACCGTCTATATTGTACTTATATATATATTGAAATTTCTTTGAAACTTTTTAATGTCTTGACAGAACATTGGTGCGTAAAGCCAAAGGTACCGGGTTCGAATACCGGCGGGGGTGTGACTACAGCAACAATTTTTCCCTCATTAATTTGAGGTAGTTTGTAGTGGGTAAATAAAAGATCGAAAAAAATGATTTCAAATTAATATTGCCTTGACAGAAATCAGTGTCTAATTCGAACTATGTAATTTGAGAAAATACTTCAAGAAAAAAACCCTTTTTGTTATTTTAAATCATTTACCTACATGATAATTGCTTGTTTTTTGGTAATTAATGATGACTTTTCAGAAATGAGTCAGAAAAAGTATCTACACAGTCATTTTCTTCTGTTCAACACTTTAGTCATTGTTACTGCATTTCAACAGCCTGAGTGCAGAAATTCTGATTACGATCAGTGTATCGAAATGGCAGATCCATTGATAAGAGAACCTCGATTAATCTTTCCCGACAATTTACAGGTATTAACGACAATAACAAAAAAAAAATAGTTTCATTGTAAATCTTACAACAATGCAATAGAATAACGAATGCACTTCTTTATCATTAAATTATAGCTAGATAGATACCAGAAAAATATATTATTTACCTGGAAAGTCTAGGAATAATAAAAAGTTATTGATTTATATTTCCCATTGTATGAATGTGCTTCCCAGTTATTTAGATCGTCGAGGAAAAGGCATTACACATTAATGTCTGTACTTGCTGGTGTTAATTGTATTTAATGAATAGTTAATAAGTTATGATGGACGATTTTCCCTGCTATAAATTGTGTCGTATTTTTAAGGATATCGATTATGTATGTAGAAAGTGGAACAACTTTGTCGATTGTATAAAACGTTATACTGACAGATGTTTTACGGAAAAACAGCGAAGGCAGTTTAATAAAGCCGTGGAAAACCCCATAGAATCGGTTTATCAAATGTGCAGTCAGCCTGAATATCAGAAAGGTAATTCACAAAAGAAAATTGCACATCAATCGGTTCTTTGTGAAATTCTGAGTAAGACAATTGCCTCTCTTCAAACTTTTTGATTTATCGATAATTAAAACAATTGACGATTCAGAGCCTACTACATACGGAATAATAGAATTTCACAGGGATTATGTACTTATTGTATTCCTTTTTTTTGGAACATATATATATACAAAAATTGGATTTTAAACGCATAATTTTATTGATTTTGTAGAATATCTACATTACGCCCCTTGTATGAAAAATACTGTGACCGAAAGGGCATTTTGTGCTCCACATTACGCCCTCTTGATGGAACATGTTTCGCAAGGAAATGAAATTTCCATATCAGTTCTGTGTTGGTAAATATTTGATGTTGTAGCACATTTTGACCTTTTGTACAAGACTTAACTAAATGCAACTTAAGTCATTCTAGGATCGCACAAAAATTATTTTCACTTTTCTAACTGTCGTTTTTAGTTCGTATAACAGATTTAGGGACTGCGTGTTGCGCGAAACTAGAAGGCTATGTGACAGGGGAATCCCTGATGGTCCTGCGACCAGATATGCCACTCATATCATCGATAAAGCTTTGAGTTTTCTGCAGGAACAATGCAGCAATCACATGTAAGTGACGTAAATCAGTAAACAACATACAAAACGTGATGTCAAATCAATAAAATTTTGTCTTCGGTAGTCCCAATGCCGGCGATTGCGGCGTTCCGACTGGTGGGGTTCATTCCCCGTCAGATTTTTCTGGAACGACCCCATCAACTGTAGAATCGCGTTGGAATACTTTCGACGAAGAACTCTCGAGTTCGAAGTCCCTTTTGACATCAGTTTTAACTCCTCCTCGGTCATCTGCGGCTCCTTCGTGGATGGATTCTTCCGACCCAATGGATCCAGTAAGAATCGTCCTTTTTCTTCCAGTTTTAATGCCACCACTTCTATTGCCTTTCCTAAAAAGATATCTCGTTTTCCCCATCAGAATATACCATCGGTTTCTGTGCTTGGTTCTCGTTCAAGACCGTCTTCTTACGGTCGATCAAAGAGCTGGTCCAACAGCGCATCGCCCAACGTCCACACTAACAGTAACACAAACCCTTCGGCAAATACCGCACAAGCGTTTTCTGATTCGCCTGTGCCACGTTCATCCCCATCATCTCCATGGGCGACTGTTTCCCCGTGGCGTGAAATGAACCCGACACGTGACGATGGTACGCCATTCGGTTCCTCTCAAATGTCCAACAGTGACAGTCCGAGCGATCAAGGCTCGTCACCAAAGAAAACCGACGATGGTGAGACTTTTACGCTTTTCGTATTTTCGTGTTAAAAATTGAACGATTCTCTTTAGAATTGTCCACTACTAACTCTGAAGACGGAGGTGATTATTCGTCAAGTAATGAACCTTCGAGTGCCCAAACTCCTGACGTGTCGAATTCTTATCATTACAAAGACTTTTCCGACAACGGTAGGACCCCAGTTGTTGTGGAAAATTCACCGGCACTTTTTGGACAATCTCCAGGTACGGTTTGCTGTCAGAGATGTGATTTATTTGAAGTACTCGCTTTTAAAATGCAAATGGCTATTTTTATCTTGCATTTAAATACTTTTTTGAGAAAATAATTCTGTATTTTATAACAAATCAAAAAAGGATTTGCATTTTGTATTTAAATACTTTTAAAAAAACCCTTTTGCACATCTCTATTTGCTGCACCGCTGACTAAATTGCACAAAATTAAATTCCCTTGATTTCCTTCACGTACTCGTTATCAGGAACGGTCAGTGAAACCAGTCGAGATATTTCGTTTCTCACTGAAGCTACAACGTCTACGTCGACCGAAACGTGGTACCCAGCTGCTGGTAATCAATTAAGTAACGAGGTGGACGAGCCGAATCAGCAGGGCTGGAGTAAGCCGGATAATAAGGGAGAAACAAGGGGAGCATATCTATCACTTACACTTCTTGCAACAGCTCTGACGACAACATTTTGTTAAATTTGAATATTAGTCAAATGTTAGTACAAAACAAAAAAAAGTTTAGTAAATGTGTGTAATAATAATAATTATTATTATTATTATAATTGCACTGTCCAATAAAACATAAAATTCTTCTCTAATTCTAAGTACCTATTATAAAATGGTTATCTATAACTTTATGTGTAGTTTCTATTTTTTTTTCTAACGGTAAGATCTTCCATATTTCTTTTTTCTTTTTTGAATTTCTAAAAAGTATTTTTTTAAAATGTTTTAGTGTATGGAACGTCAAGTTGTTTTGAATTAAACAACTGCATGCTTTGTTCAATTGTTTTAACTTCGTTTGTTAAAACAGTTGAACGGGTACGACAACAAAATGATGTTTAATTAGTTAATAAATTAATTAGGAACCAAAGATTATAATAAGTTGAAACATATGGTTTTATTATCGAGTTTGTAATACCAATGATACTATTTTTTGTTTTTTTTTTGACGATGTAATTATTAATTAGATTGCATGTTTTTTTTATTAATGTTTTCAGAATTTTGATAAGCATTACGTACAATATGTCTATCCTATTGTGAATTTTTATTACCAAAAATAATTATTGTTACTTACGATTATTAATAAATCATATGAATTTATTTTTAATTTTTCATTATTTACCTTCCAGTTTTAGTAATATAATAATAATATTTCACCAGATTGTGTTGAAAAATAAAAGGGAGTGGAAGACTCATATTAGCAGTAATTTATTTTTAATTTGTTAAGTTATATGGTATAAGTAATGCACTTTTTTATTAGTGTTAGAAGTATGAAAATTTCGTCTATAACTTCTGTTATGTCACATATATTTTCGTCTTTCATTTTTATGTGACCCTTATAATCTAGAATTTGTCAAACGAAGACGTTTGAGGACTTTTAGGGCGAGGTTCTTTGTCTTTTTAATCGGGAAAATCGCAATTTTAATGTTTCAATTGCTAAAATTTATTTACTGCTTTACTTCTAATGAAATGCGTGTTCGTTGAAGTAAATAAAACATTTGATNACTACAATATTTATGTATAATGTAACATGATATCATTAATTTGATGTTGATGTTTTGTTTTCCATATTTGCTCCATAAATAAGTAGAAAGTTTCAAACAACATTTCAAAAATGGGAGAAGTGGAAGAGCAGAATTACTTTTACATTTTATTTTAATACTAGAAAAGGGACCTTAAATATGTAAATTTTCAAAGTAACTGCTGCCTATTTTGCTGATTAGTTAATGGTGCTTTATGTATCTACTGTTCTCTTGGTCACCTCTAATTTCTTTACCACATTGTTGCATTAAAAAATTACTGATTTACTTGCTTTAAAAATGGTAATTAATAACTTCTTTTTGCCCGTTTCTATAGATTATCCAACAAATGAAAAGGAAGAGGTCAAAAGCTCTTCACCTTGCACAAGATTATGCAGTAAATTTTGAACTTGCGAGGAGGGAGGCAACTGAATATTAATTTGGAAACTACTGAACTCAAATTATCTGCAGTGGCATTTCTCCCCAATTTGGCTTGCTCATCACACTTGTATACTCTAGAACGCTACTTTCTGCAGTTAATTAAGGTAAGAGTGCATATCATAATTAGTTTTAATTGCTCTTTACAGCATAAATTGAAGTTATCATGTATTTATAGTATTACCCACAGAATCAGTTGACTTTTGAAGCATCTACAGCATTTAATTTGTTTATTGTAACAATTGAGTGATATTGTGATGCATCTTTGGTACTTTTTTTTAACAAATATTGTCTACTGCATAAGTTGACGTTATAGTACATCCATGATTACTTCACATTTATTTGTCTTTATATAGATCACCATTTGGTTGTTTTAGTTGTTTCTTGGTGCATGTATTTATTGTGTGTCTTATCTTATTTATATAGGAATGTAATTAATTCTTAATTAATACGTTTTTTGCCCATTTCTGCAGATTTTCCAATAAGTGAAAAAGAATTAAACATCAGTTTGGTCATGCTAAAACAACTGATGTCTACATGGGTGGCGTTTTGCTGGACTTCATTGTTGATTTGCTGTTTTCGTCTTCACCTTCCAACATTATGCAGTTCTTAATGGAGGAGTGAGAGCAACTGGAGATTTATTTGAAGTCTACTAAAACGATAAATTTTCTGCTATGGTATTCGTCTTGAATTTGATTCTGCAGTTAATTAAGGTGAGAGTGCATGACATAATTAGTTTACAGCATAAATTAACGTTAATCCTGAATTTATGGTATCGTCCACAGAATAAGTTAACGTTCTACATCTATGGCATCTCTTTTAACCGTTATCTATTGATCTATTTACAGTACAAGCTGGCGCTTTCGTGCATCTATGGTACCAGTTAACATTTATCTATTGTTCACACCATTAATTAATGTTATCGTGCATCTATTGGTATTTGTTTCAACGATTCTCTATTGTTCGCAGCGTTAAGCAACGCTATCGTGCATTTTGGTACTTCCTTTTTTTAACAAATATCTATTGTCGACCGCATAAATTAATGTTTTGGTGTATCTATGATTACTTCACATGTGTCAAAATGTCATTTTATAATTCAGATATTTTAGTTTTGTTTTGTTTACTTATATAGGAGTGCATTTAATCCTTAATTAATACGTTTTTTTGCCCATTTCTGCAGGTTTTCCAACAAGTGAAAGAGAAAGATTCGTTTGGTCATTCTGAAACACCGATGTCTACACGTGGGTGGCGTTTTCCTGGACTTCATTGTTAATTTGCTGTTTTCGTCTTCACCTTCCAGCATTATGCAGTTAATTCTCAACGGAGCAGTGAGAGCAACTGGAGATTTATAAGAAGTCTACTGAAATGGCAAATTTGGTGCTATGA